AAGCGGCGCTCGATGGAGGTGATGACGGTGTTGATGAAGCCGTTCACGGTCATGCCCTGCAGGAAGGAGGCCACGCAGAGGAAGAACAAGACCCCTTTGGATGTGTTGCAGGGCTGCAGGCAGCCGGGGGTGAAGGCCCCCCAGCCACAGGCCAGTTCCTCCCCTTGGGCAGACACGTATTTGATCCCTTCCTCGAGCGGCGTCGGGTCCTGCGCCGGGCTGGGTGTGCAGAGGGGCTCAGCAGAGGAGTCTGAGGGGCTGGGGGCCCCTGAGGGGCTGGGGGCCCCCGAGGAGCCCACGCCATTGCTCAGGGGGGTGCTGCAGCCATCGTCCTCCCTCGCTGCGCCCAATGGCCGGCCAGCCCCGCCGCCATGAGGGGATGGACGGGAGAAGTCAAGGGGCTGAGCGAAACAAAAGCCATTTTCTCTGGTGGAGTTCTGGGGCATTGCCATGAACGGGAATGCAGAGTCTGGTGGCACACTGAGGTGGGCTGGTGGCCAGGTTGGCTCTGTGGGGCAGTGAGGAGATGCAATGTCCAGGAAATGCAATTTTCAGCACTTACTTCAGTAGGGAGACGGTGAAAGTCTGAGCCAAGACCATTCTGATCTGCGCAAAGAGAATTTTTACATGCCTTTATACAAAACCATGATCAAACCCCTCAAATATTCTTCTTTTTTTTTTTTTTTTTTTTTTTTTTCTAATTTTAAAAAGTATAAGCATTTCACTATGCAGTTTACCTGGTCACATGCCTTCCACCATGGGATGTGCTGGTACCTCAGGTGTCAGGGCATCACTAACATTACAGAAGAGAACAAAACATTCAAGAGCCTTAAAAGAAAAGCACCTCTAACGCAGTGTCCCCACCGACTGAAGCCCCTTATCTCTCCTCTGATAAAGACCTGCATCCCCCTTCTTCCCCCTGCAGAGAACAGCCCACACAGCTACAAGTTTCCCACTGCTAGAAGTCCTTTGGTCTCTCTTTCACACTCTGCCAATAACAGTTTATAATTATCCTGAAAAGTTTCCACAGTCAGACTGATTTTATTCCAAGCCCTCAGATCTGTTTACAACTATTCAGTAAAATCCTTTCTATAACTAATTAGACTACATGCCATTTCAGAGGAGGCTGGAGGGCAGAGGCAGCTGACTCTAACCTGATTACCAATGCAGACTGCCTTCTTTCACCCTGTTCCTGTGCATTGCACCACCTGACCCTGCCAGCAACCAAGAGTATTTTTCCTTAAATGCCTTGGCTGAACTATAAATGATGAAAATAATAAGGTTCTCCCTTGAATACTGGTCTTAAATATGCAACAAATGCTAAGCAAGAACTGTTTAATAAGAGAGCATCCTCAAAGCATCCTGTATTTCTCAATAATTTTGCCAATATCTGTTTTGAGAGCTTCCATAAAAATGCTCCCCCTGAGATGACAGCCTCATCAGCATGAAAGTGGGAAAAAGGGGCTTTTTTTTCCTTGATAAAATGAACTATGTTCAGATGGCTGTAACCTGGGAATATAGCAGCCTTTGGTGAAGACTTTAATACTTATCTGTGTGTTGCTGTAAAAAAATGATTGACATTTGCTAAACAGATGTGTTTCTCTGCACCAGTTGGTCTTGCAGGCCCTGGGGAAGGAGGACTTGGCAGAAAGTGATGCTCAGATCACCACCAAGGTGCTGCTCCTACCCCAGCAGGGCAAGGGACAGACTACACGTGCTACCAAATCTTAAACATTCATGTTAGGAGTGCTACAACACGTGTTTACAACATGTCTGGTCCAAGTATTGGGCCTCATAAACAAATGAGGTCGAACTTTCACTTGCAAATAACTTTATCTCAATTACCCTGTCTGGGGAGCAGTGTTCATGGACTATTTCCTATTTCAAGCTCCAGATTCCAGCAGAGATTTGATGACAGTGCAGGGCAGGTGAGCCTGGCATCACTTTGCAGCTCCACGCTGGACTCCTCCAGGTAACTCCTACCTTAGTTGGCTGAGTACAACCAAGTACCTTTGATCTGTAAAGCGTAAATGCAAAAACTGACTGCAGGGGTGGAAATTTTGCTGCAGAGATAGACTGTTGTAATGTGCTGGCACAAAAAAATGATGCCTTGCTGCAAGGCTCTATTTTTTCCACTTTTTCTGCCTCTCCAGTGTTCTTATGACTCTTACAGCTCTAAATCTGTTTCTCATCTTTGGATGCAATATTGGAAGCAATAAATAAGCCTGCTTTAGCACTCTGTTAAAGTCAGGAGTGATTATTAGGTGCTGAATCAGGCTCAAGGGGCGGAATGGTTCATACTCATGTAAATCAAACGCCTCCTTGCACAGCAGCCAGGGCTGCAGCTGCACCCTCCTCCTATCAAACTTGTATCAGACTCATGTCTGATGTTACACTTGACTGCACTTGTAAAGAAGGTTTCTTGGCTGGGGATTGATTTTGCTCTCACTGATTTCAGCAGATAGAAGCAGCACATCTCTGTTATTACTTGATATGCAAGCAGGAGCCCTGAGCTCTCCAACCAGTCCAGCTTCACCCTGGAGGAAAAACTCCTTTAAACACTGGGATCTCTCCTTTGATACCTCATGAATTTATATTGATATTTCGGTATTTCATGAGTCAGGAGAGAGATTACAGCTCTTCATCAAAGGTTTTATTTCCTTGGTGGCAGCAGTCTGGGCCACCGGACCCAGGTGACCACATCATCCCCTCTTCAACTCCTGCCACTGTTAAGAGCAAACAGGGTGAAACATTTCCAAGAAAGCAGCCAGCCTTTTCTCCAGGCAGCAGATGTTTTCCCCCCACCCAGAAGCTTTCTCAGCCCCAACAGCCCCCCCTGTACCCATCCCAGTGGACCTGGGCTAATGACTCGTGCCCAGGTGCCGTGGGCAGGGAGCCCACTCCCGCTCTGTGCCGCCCCCAGAGCTGCTTGGCACCTCTTGAAGTATTTATAAACTGGCTGTGACACCTTCACTGTGGGTATCAGCTTTCACAGGAGCCATATGCCACTTCAGAGGACAAAATATAATCTTCAGGGGAAAAAATCCAAGCAACTTCATGCACTTCCTAATCATTCATATTCTTCCAAGTCATCCATTTATTGCCTCCCATTCATCTCTGTTTTTAATGACTCAGCGGGTGATTTCTTGCTTACACTGAATCAGTCCCAATGCTATTATCTCTCTGCCATAGATTTCCTCATTTTGCTGCAAAATTTCTACTTTTTTTTCCACTGTACAGCTGGCTCCAGAGTGCCAACATTATCGAGTCAACACAGCAGAAGTAGCAAGGCAATGAAAGCATATGATTTGTATTTCCTGATGAAATCTGTAAAGACTTCCCCCCCCCATAATATTTAGCATTAAATCAATAGTAAAACTTACAAGCTTTTCATCAGGTGATCATTTAAAAAGTCACAGGACCAATTAAAAACATTTTGTATTTCTGCCAAGGACTGCGATGAGATTAATGTTGCAAATTAACTCATAACTGACATGCAAAATAATCCCATTTGCTGAAACATGCCCAATAATAGTTAATCTTCCCTTCCACATTATGGTTTTTTGACTTTTATATGGTATTATTGTGGCAAATAACATCTATACATAACTTCTGCTCTCCACAGCTGAGCACAGTTTATGAGTAGACTTAGCCTTTTTTTCAATTCTATTGCATACATGGAGATATTTCCTAATGAACAGGGGTAAGGGATTAAAAATGATCAGGAAGTGTACTGCAAACAGGAGAGGAGCAGCCCCAGGCAATGCTTGGTGGCTGTGATGGGTCTCCTCTATTTTTATTTTCCTCAATGTGTGAGCAAGCCTGGAATTACTGATCAAGCACTTAGAACCTGGTCCATATCCAAGTCCATATCCAAGTACCAAGCTCATATTAGTGCAGCAAAGGATAAATTAATCTGGGTTTGTCCATTTAACTTCTCTTGGTAACACACAGTGAATTTTCCTCGGAGAGTTTGGCTTCAGAGGATTAGCAGCACTCCTTCTGTCATGGCTGATAAACACCATATGGATCAAGTGTAATCCACTGGCTGCTTTAGGAGTGGGGAAGCCTCCCAGAAGTGAGATAAATCCACGTCCCAGTCCCGTGAACAGGGCTTGTCCTTAGGGCACTGGCTCAGTGCAAGGGAGATAAAAGCAAGAATGGGATGAGTGAGTTGTTCTGAGTAACACTGAGCTGGCTTCCTGGCAGCTGAGGAACTTCACCCAGCTCACACCAAGTGTAAACCTCACATTTTTAGCCCAGTTTTTCAAAGCATCCCTTTGGATCAGCAATACAGAGGATGCTGCTGTTGTGGGATTGGCACAAGGACTGGACTGGAATGTTTGATAAGCAATTCCTGTGGGAACAGCGTGGTCCTGCACACATGGAAAAGTTTCAGGAATGAGGAACACACCCAGAGAGCAGCCAGCTGACCATGAGCTGAATGCTGTGCTCACCATCAGTGCTGCATGCACAGAGGGAGGATGAGGGAGGAACTTCCTAGGAATGGAGGGCAATAGGAATATCCTGACTCATCCCTCATGTCAGAGACCAGCTTTTACATCATTAGACCTACTGGAGTCTGAAACATGGAAGAGAGCAGCAAAAACTGGCTTCGAGTTATCACATGAGCAAGGACATATTTATAATTACATAAATTCCAAATAGCAGAGCTTAGCACTCACAAACCCTTTGTGTGTTTTCCAAGTCCCTTCCATTCACTGGGAAATTATTGCAATATACGCAAGGAATCAGGAAGGTGGCTTGGATAATTTTCAATTAGCTGCTTGAAAATGCTTTGAAGATACATCTAGCCAGATTTTCGGAGTCTATTTACTTGTTCCAGCTTATCTGTGCAAATACAATTGGCTGCAGCTGCCTCAGACCATCTTTAGAAACTTGCAGTGCCAATGTACAGAGCAGATTTAACCCGGGCATTGCTTTTTGCCATAGCACAGATTAACCAGACAAAAGGGTCTTTTATGCTATAATTCCTAACTTCCCCCTCCTTAATGTCACTCTTGCTTTAATGTCTTTTTGCTACCCATACATTTGGCCAATGCTGGCATAACACTGTGCCTTCCATCACTGTCATTGCCCATGGAGCTGGGTGTTTCCAGATACACCACCAGCATTTTCCCAACCCCTGACCCTGCATGGTGTTATTTTCCATCATTTGGATTCTTACAATCCATTAAAGAATATTCTATATTCAGCACTCTTTCTGCATGGGCAGCTGATCCGCTCTTCCCAAGGATTACCAGTTAGTTCCTACAGCTGTCCCTTCTCTGTTTCCAAGCAGAAGATGCAGACTCAGGCAAATCCTTTATGATGTAAGAAATTAAACAAAATGAGCAAAACCCAAATAAAGAACACGAAACACGTGATTCTCTGGTGTTTCTAAAGATAGAAGCACTAAAATGCAAAAAATGCAACACCCTGTGTTACACAACTCAAGGATGTTGAGAACAGATGTATTTCAGAATAGATGCATTTCAATAATAGATGTATTTCAAATAATAGATGTATTTCAATATTATTGAGATACAATAATCTCATGTTGACATTTACCATGGTTTACAGGCACTTACACTTTTTTATACTCATGATTTAATCAGTATGAAGGTAAAAACAAAAAAGAAAACCAGATGGAATATTAGCATGAAACTACCTAGAACTTCACTTTTTCCTGAGACACAATTGCCTTCCAGCCCCTCTTTTCTGCACTACAGGAACTTTCTGGGGAAATAATGTACCACAAGGTCATTTTGCTCTACCAGCCAAGGACAGAGC